ATTTTATAAAAAAATAAACACATATTTTTAAACATATAAAATAAAAAATCTTATTATAGTTAAATAAATTTGTTTTTTACTGAACTTGAACTCAGTTCGCGTCAATTGATATCGTGGTGAACCATGCTCGGACACCTAAAGGGCTGGAAGGAAGGAGCCATGGCGGCGGGAATAGCCGGCGCACGAAAAGCCCTCGCAAACCGATCCATTTCTTCTGCTCCGTTCTCCGTTGCCGCCACCTTGAGAGCTTCTCCTTCTTCTTCTCCTTCAGTTCGGGCCTTTGCTCGACTCCCTCGCGGCCGGCTTCCCTTCGGGATCTCAAGGTACCTCTCCCTCGCAACTTTCCCACTATCTTCGATCATATTTCTTTTCATCAGCTTCTCCATCCGGAACTGTTCACTAATAGATCTTCTTTGTCATCATCTTAATTCCAAGTTCTCCCATATTTGCGTCTTTTTATTCTCTGTCCGACTTTGTGATGTAAAATTACCGGTTTCTTCTTTTACTGTTTGAATTTTGTGAAGTCTGACGGATTAGATTCTATAGGTCCCCCGTTGAGTTGGGTTGTGCACAGTCTTTGATGCCTTTTCACAGTGTTACTGCTACGGCATTGCTCACTTCTATGCTCTCCACAAGACCTGGATGTTGGGCTTGGCTTTCAGAAGGTAACCCCTTTATGCTCTCTCTTCTTTTCTGTTGTTCACGTTTGGCGCTTCAGGTTGCCTCACCATCAGACAATGTTTGGCAATAATTTGGCTGCTTTACTTTCCTGTGAAGAAGAAAGAGAAGTTCAACTTGCTAAGGAATGCAGCACTGATTTAACCATCTCATACGAGGTCATGCTAGCATAGACCTGTTGTGCTAGTACTCGACGGTGTCACCTACCAAGATTGCACCAATTATTTTTGCATAAAGTACAACTAGCATAAACCTCTCACAATACTAAAATAGTTACTTTGGTTGTTATGTTTTCGTCACAATATAAGCTACATTTTAAAAGCAATCAACAATGTTTGTTCTATTCCTGCAACATATCCTATTCTGTGTAATAGATGCATCGGTTAATTATACAAGTGGTTGCTAAGTTGTGTTTTGACATGAAGATTTATTCAATTGTTAACTGCGTAGTTCTATGAAGAAGTAATCGTCTTCAGCCACAAACTTAGGAAGGAAAAAATAATTAGTGACGTTGGATATTCTCAACATCAAATTCTTTATTTGTCTTAATGGCCATTCAATTTGTGCCCTTTCCTACACAAAAGAAGAGAAGTTGTTCTTTTCTAGTTATATTTATCATGATTAATCCATTGCTTTGTTCAAGCCTGTGCAGTTATTGGTAAAGAATCTTAGGATGGGTGATGAATTTAATATGTCAAAATTCTGGAGGTCGAAAGACTAGTGGTTCGTGTAAATTGAGAAAGAGTTAGTTGATACTAGCAAAAAAGCATCCGACTCTCTGCAACAGAGGGTGTGGAGTTCAATATATCAAAAATGAAGAACAGTTATGGAGAGGACAGAAGGTCAATTTTGTGGATTTTCTTAAAGATAGTCAAAAACTTTATTTGATAAAAGACTTGTTTCCAATCCAACAACCATCTATGCTTTATCGAAAGAATTTATCTAAGTCTTTGTTGGTTTTGGTTATGATTGGTCGGTTCCTCCTGCAAGTAAGCATCTAAAATTTATAAATAAGCATGTTCACCCATAAGTACTCTCTAATTGGAGACAGTGAGGGTGTCATTTGTTGTAGCAGAAGTGCTTAGTTTGCTTTATGTTTTGCTTAGGTTAGTTTTATTTGATTTACATGTTTTAGTTTTGACAAGGTTATTAGGATGAAATGTTCAATGTCTAGAAATTTTGAATCTTTATTCATCTGACTGATTTTGGAAGTCCTATTTGCTTTTAGATCCTTGTTCATGTATGAGTTGGCTTAGGAACTCAAGATATTTAACTTATTTTTCCCATTTTGGTCGTCTGTTATCTTGGGGGCATTCAGCCCCTTGCAAGTCTATTTGCAGTAAGTAATATACTTGCAAGCAGTTGTTTGCCTACAGGCAAATCCACTCGAAGCATGTGTACATGCAGCGAAACCTCAATTTTCTTGAAACCTCATGTAACATTTGCATGTTTGGTTGCAAGGCAAAATATTCTCCTCTGCCTTAGTCCGCATGATCATCGTCATCACGTCCTTCCTCTTTATCTGTCATTGCCTTTTCTGCCTTTGTTGCAGCCATAAGTAACAATTGTACATGCTGACATCTAAACAGCTTCATCTACAACTCCGCTACTTTGGACCTTTGTTTTGCCTACAAAGGCTGCTTATAATCATTTTTAGTTGCAGGCAACCAAACACCCCCTTTAAGGAAACTTGCTTGTTTGTTATGGTTTTTATGGTTGTAGAGGTTCCTTAATAGTTTTGTTTATTGATTTTATTTCTTATTTGCAGGGTTTAATATGAAATCATTTAACTTTCCTCAGAAGAATTAATTAATTGTAGGTGCAAATAGTCCAGCACCTTGAATTCCATGGTTTCACTATATGGAAGGAATTGGCCTAATGTTATATATATTATGATGAAAATTTATTGAAATGTTGTCCTTATCCGTATAGTAATTTTTTATTCTCTGGTTGTGGTAGAATGCTTAAATTTTGTTTGTTTAAGTACCATACATGCTTGTTGGACTCCTGTTCTGTTGCATAAATTGGGAATTTTTATTTTAAAAAAGAAAGTGATAAGTTTTTTCTGTATTTTCCCTGTCCACCTAAGAAGCACAATAAATTTGATGCCTTCAGATCTGGTTTAGTTTTATTATTTTTGTGTTATTTCTGCAAAACTTTTGTTATTGTTTCACATGCTATGGGTTTGATGTAGTGGTGCCAGAAAAACAAAAAAAAGAATAAACCCAAGCTGCATTTGTGGCAGTAGTCATTTGACTGTCATGGAGTTTCTTCTATTTCCCAAAAACTTCAGAAACACAAAGATGCTTTATGATTTGTTTGGACGAAGTCACAAATGATTTATCATCTCTCCAACATGAAATCGTGTCCCCAAACATATCAACCATTCTGTGGTATCATAAACATTTGTTGTTGTCATCTTGAACATGCAAATCATTTGGTTGCATCAGCAAAGTGCGCTGGCTGATGTTGATATGTTCTGCGCCTATTACTTTTTGTAGGTTTTGCGACGCCTCTATGACATCAGAGATAAACTCGAAACAAACACCCTGATGAGGACCGGCAGGGGGTATTATTTTTTCCTGGGACGATGTAGAAGGCACTACTGCTTCGGATGCTGATCTGGAGTCTATCTTCTAAAATGAAATTATGTTGGATTTCAGTTTCATCATTAAAGAAATATTTCAACATGCATTTCTGGACTTGTATTAGGAATGCACTTTTCATCCTTCCCCCTGGCATGCCAAATCTGATAGTGATCGAACTATTTGTCAAAATTTATTGATATGTTTCGGTCACCTTTCAGATTGGAGTGTTTCAGTTATTTAGACGTGCAAGGTTTGGAGATCGTAATATACTATTTCTGCCGGTCTTAACATGCTTGCTTGTGGGCAGTGCGTCGGAAAGGTCAACCAAGTCTCCGTCATCTGCAACCCGATGACCATTTGCTATGCTGAGGTAGATGTTGCGATGCTGAAAGATCAAATGCTAATGGATATATACTCGACAAGATTCAAAGTGATGGTATGAAACGAGACTCGATGCTTGTTGACTTTAATTTCTGTTGGATCAAAAAGTTGTGTTTGTAGGCGTTTTACTTATCGAAGGAAATCGAGGTCAAAGCATCGTAACGTAGGTGCAATCGGATATTGCGAACGATGTATGTACGTATTGGAGTTCGCCCCGATAATGCAATTTACGTGAACCGATCAGGTCCAAAGCATGCGTTTTATGTGAACAAATGAATCGGGGGTGGTTCGAACTTGATCATATGCGGTAGGCGGTATGGGGTTGCTTGCTTGACCATAACGCCGGCTTCGTAATGTCATGTGGATAGACAATTTGAATCAGACCAGATGTGGGTGGGATCGAAGTCGGAAGATCTTAATTAATTATATTTCTTTCAATTTTTTTTTTTAAAAAGACTTTTTTTTTTGTTTGTCTTTTTTTTCTTCTCTGAATTTAGAAATCTAAGAAAATAGAAGTGCTAATTAAGAAAACACTTTCTTTTTTGATTTTGTGTTATTATCTAAAAGTATAAGAATTCCAAATTAATTTAGTGGGAAGCTAACATGATTTATATTTTCTATAAGATAAAATTGTATTTATTTATTTTTAAAGATTATTGTAATTTATTATATTATTATATTTTTTTATCATATAAATTTTTTAGAAGATTAATATATTTATTTGTTTTATTTCCTTATTAATTTAAATTAAAAAAATATGTATTCTTTTTGAATAAATATTAAAAAGATAAATCTTCTATAAAATATTCAATAGAATTTCGAAATATAATTTTACCAAGCAATTGTAATACGTATTCAATGCATATTTAAAATATAATATTTAATACGTTCACTGAAGTTAATTTCTCTAATTATATATTTAAAATATAAATATATTTCTAAATATAGTCATAGTATTTTCAACGATATCGAAAAAATAATATACTGAAAACACAATAATATAGCGTAAAAATATTATAAAAAGATTGATCCATAGAATAAAAGAGGAAAAGGGAGAAAAAAAAGAGATATATGACGAACTATCAAATCAAGGATATCATAGGTAGGAATTAAATAAAAATGGAGCATTGTTAAGACAAATAAGAAGTCATTATCCATTAGATATATATATATATATATATCTAATGCGTTTTTTCCATGAATTCGTCCAAGATAGAAATGGATTATGGCCGGCGTAAGCGTTTTGGTTGAAAAGGTTGAACTGTCTCCTTGCGTTGGGAAACTGGTCAATTATGCATCTTCCTTTCTCAAGCCCCTTCCTCTCGAATCCGTTCCCACCCGCAAGTTTCTCTCTCGTCCTTCCTCCTGCTGGTGAAGGTCACGTGAAACATGGCTCTTCTGTTACTATATATCTACTAGGAGCCATGCAGCATCCTCAAGCCAACAAAGGCTCTCTCTCTCGCTTCATTTGGCCTGCTGCTGGCTGGCGGAGAGTTGGAGAGAGAGAGAGAGAGAGAGAGAGAGAGTTAAGTGCCGGAAGAGATAGATGATGAAGAGTCGTAGCGGTGGGGGAGCAAACAGTAAGGTGGAGAGGAAGACAACGGAGAAGTATAGGAGAATGCACATGAAGAACTTGTGCTTCAAGCTTTCCTCCATCATTCCCGAAGAACACAGAACCATTTCAAAGGTCAGCATCTTGCGTCTATTATCTACCAGTAAATACTCCTCTATTTCATTCTGTACGCCCTCGAAGGAGGGCAGTTGCCGATTTGAGTGGTGCCTTTCTCAGATGTTGTTTCCATCATTCTATGTTGCAGGATGTATTAACACAACAAGACAACTTCGATCAAGCCACATCTTACATAAAAAAACTCCGTGAAAGGATTGAAAGGCTGAAGCAGAGAAAGCTCATGCAGACGAGCACAGTCAGACGTGATACGACAATGAGGTTTGCATCACCAATTATTGAAGTAAGACACCAGGATCTGAACTTGGAGATACTCGTGATAAGCGATCTAAACAAGAGGTTCATGTTCCATGAGGTGATCAATGTCATCGAGGAAGAAGGCGCTGAAGTGGTTACTGCCAACTTCTCAATTGTGGGCGACAAGATCTACCACACAATACATTCACAGGTAATCAGAAACCCCCTTTTGTTTTTGTTCCTTTGTTTATAGTAGTTTGCTCACAAGGTTTTCATTCGTTTGGATGGTTCAGAACTTCAAATTAAGGCCGACTGAATGCCTCAAAACAAATAACTTGTGTTTCTTAATCTAAAATTTAAGATCGACATAGCTCGGTCTGAAATTTCATACATTTTCCTGTCAGCCTACAACGTTGAGCAATGCATGTTATGAGCTGCTATTTCTGTTGTTTGCAGGCTGTTAGCTCCAGAATTGGATTGGAGGCTTCAAGTGTATATGAGAGATTGAAGGACTTGATCAACTAAGCCTCTCACTTGGACAGAAGTATACTTTGTCAGATTCATGAGGATACATGAATGTGTAACTTTTACCTAAGAAATATTGAAGTATCACACTCACTTGGACAGATGTATGTTCTTCTTTTTTTGGCTGTTGCTGTAGTACCTTTTTGGGTACAGAGTATGAATTGGATACTTCTCTTGTATCAGCAGAAATTGAACATTGCTCTTTCCATTAAAGGTCACATCATGATAAATAAAAGAGCTGAGATGCACTCAATGAAACAGGATAAGACGGATATGGAGTTCCTTAAGAGTGAATATCTTCGAGCATGAAACATGGGAATCCAATCCACCACTTCAATGATGATGATGCATACACACACAAATCAACGGCCACAACATCTTCCAATGAATCACTTTGCAGGATGAATAGATGCACCAACTCGAAGGATAATTAAGCTCAGACAATGAGACATCTTTTTGTGTTTCGCTTCGTCATTAGGCAACTATTTGGTGCATGGAGGAGATCTTTGGGCAGGGAAGTTGATTAATGGAGTAGATTAAGGCATTCCATCAGGGCATCTGTATGCTCTGGCTTCCCAACAGTAACACGGACATAGCCTTTTAGCTCCTTTTTATTGTAGTGCCGAATCATCACACCCATTTGCGCTAGATCTTCCTGCAAAAGAAAGTTCTCAGATGTAACAACTCTTTAATTGAAATGCAAAAATAAAATCATGTACCCTTTGTGGTATCAGATCATTTTAAGAAAGAATTTGTTAACGAGTGACATTGAACTTGTCCACATGAAATTTGAATGACTTTTGTGATGATGCTCTGTGCCACTTTAGAGCATCATCATTTTGATTCAGTTCGTGTGTCCAAGCAACACAGAGACTCGGATAGCACCTTGTTTTCTAGGAGCTTTATCCACATGATTCAGAATTCTGTCTTGGAACAATGAAGACCCTAGTATTGAACAAACATTAATGCACGATATTAGAACTGCTTCCGATGATTAATATAATATCACCAGAACATGAAATATTTGTCCATTGTTTTCTTGGGTCTTCTTTGGATAATTTATTCAAACTGAAGTTAGCCATTTGCATTGTTCAAGAAAGAACTGCAGGATAAACATGCTATGTTCGCAGCATGGTTGCATCAGTTTTGTGGCTGGGTTGAGCATGAATAATAGAACTTGAACCAAGCATGTTGATTGTCCATGAGCGTATGTGTGTATCTGTAAGTATACATAACATATATACCTGCATAAATATAATCATATCTATAACATAGATATGTATATATTCACCTATGTCACTCATTTTAAGAAGATATTTGAATGATGAAATTGATGTCATACTTCGGAGACAACCTAAGCAGATACAAGGCAATTAAATTGAACCAAAGAGTCAATAGACAACCTTGTACAAATAGAAATGTTATTTCCATAATTTTGACTGTAGTCACCTTGATCTAAAAGAAGAAATATATATTTCAAATAACATGGACCAAAACCTTACAATAACACTATCGGCCAATACAATAAACAGAACCCTTTTCTCAGAAAGTAGTTGATTAACATTTAACGACAATAAACCATTGATTCCTGTCTAAATCCCTTATGGAATCATGTAAAATCAACATTATCAAGAATTTACTAAAGCCAACAAATTTAAAAATTATATCATAAGCAACTTAGAATATTATTTTTTTACCACAAATGCTGTAAAAGCTAGAAAAGAGAATGATTTGTGATTTATGAACCATTTTTCCCAATTGAGGAAAGTAAGATGTATGATTGTGATAACTTTAATTTACCATTTTTTTAATGCATATTGACAGTGAGGTGATTGCAATCCTGGAAGGGCTAAGGGCTGCTAAACAGGCTGGGTTTTCTTGTATCCAAATGGAATCCGACTCAAGGATGGATATTGAAGCCATCAATAAAGCTATGAACTCCCCTTGGCAAATGTTGAATTGTGTCAGGGACATACATGATTTAGCTTCAACATTTCAGTCAATTACTTTCAGTCATATATATAGGGATGCAAATAGACCTGCTAATTGGTTAGCAAATTTTGTCCAAACTACCAACTCCACCTTTGTGTGGAAGGGAAGCTTACATTTTGAGTTTTGTAAGACTGAATCCTCAGATGAGGAGGGTGCTTTTTGTAGCCGTGTTTTTGTGTGAATAAAAGTTTCTTCCTTTGCAAAAAAAAGAAAAAAGTGGCATGTGGATTGAGCAGACTTAAGCAAATAATGAAGAATCCATAGTGATCATTCGGAAATTATTTGCAAGATAAATTACCTTAAGTTTCTTAGCATCCTTTCCAGATGTAACCTCACATAAAATGAAGTTGGAATAGCTTGGATATGGCTTCAGATAGGGCACTTCCTTCAGAAGACTAAACAATCTTTCCCTTTCTTGCACCAGAGAATTTTTCACTTTCTGGAAAAAGAAAAGAGAGGGTAGAATAACACATACTAGTTAAAGTTAAAGCAGAGGATCAATGACAAAATCACAAGAAAAATACACCTCCAGATAGTCAGGGTTTTGCAATGCCGCACATGCAGAAACTTCTGCTGCAACGGACACATTATAAGGTTGCTTTGCACGCCATAAATATTCGATCATGCTAAGAGGAAATGCTCCATAGCCCACACGAAGTCCAGCTAAACCTGTTTCAGCGCCAACCAGAAAATAAATATCACATCATTTGCTAGAAAGGAAAAGATGGAGAAAAGTTCAGCTTGTGGGAGTTTTATAACAGTCATAAGAATCCAAGCAAGACATTTAGATACGAGCAGATCTAATAGATGCAAAAAGAATTCTGAACAAAAATCCCGCAAAGCCACCATTTATTTCATCACTGCTATACAGTAATGTTGGTTCCATTACTGTACATGCAAATCATTATCAGCAGCTGACTAATCGATTACTCGCAGCTGTTCGCTTCTTATGCTACCTCTCCAAAGTCCTGTGTTATATCATGTGCTCCTTGTCTTGCATGGACAAACTACATGCATTATGCACTTCTATATCAGAACTTGTGGATGCATAAATAATCCATTGCCAATACTTCATCAGATCATGTCTTCTCGGGATTTAGAAGAAGCCTCTGACTTTCACTTACAATGGCCAACAATGTTGGAAGTCTTGGAGTGGGATACACCATTTACATCCTAGAAGGAAAAAAAGAGAGGAAATCATGAAATATCTAGCAACTACCAAATTGCCCTACTTGCCTTTGGATGTCAACCAACACAATAGCAAGTTGCTGTAGGTCCCAACAATTTGGGGTCTGCTACATGTATCTTTACAAGTGAACACAATATCACCTGTAAAGCTAAAAGCAATCAAGTCACTTCTACAGTTTCTGATAGTCTTCTTAGGTCTTTTTTACATCTCCTTACACCACTAATCTAACTTACATCACCTAACTGTTGCAAGAATTGGCATATGAAAAAGAGCCCTTTGCTTTTACTTTGTTAGTCATTCTGACTCTACCCTTACATTTGGTGAAATTTCACCAATTATTCATAGTAATGATTTTCATAGACATCTGATAATGGAGAATTCACAACTCACATAGGCCCCTTTTAAGGCTCATTTCTTTTGCAAGCCTCTTAAGATTGATATGACAACATACGAATAGAACATTCCTTACCTGCTCGTTTGCTAAAGGTTCGGAGGACAATCAAGTTCTCATGATTCTTCACCCACTTCATCTTTGATTGCAATCCAGAGAATTCAATGTATGCTTCATCCAGCACAACCAGGATTGGCAGATTGAGAATCTGTAGGAGATCTTCATCGCTGATAATACTGGACAAGGAATATGATTGCAACCAAATAATAACCAATGTAAGAGAATACATGATTAGACACACTTCACATAAGAAGTTCCAAGTAGATTCAGATACATAATATGTAGACAACTCTGTATGAAGCCTTTACATAAATGCTTCTGTAAATTCTTACCCTACGAGAAAAGAACAAAACAAATTAAGAGCATACTAATATACCTTCCATCAGGGTTGTTTGGAGATGTAAGGAAAATACACTTTGGCTGTTCCTTTTCCACGACTTCAACAATTTGTGGAACATCCAAAGAAAAATCTGACTGCCTTGGGACTGCATGGAATTAGTATGTAAATAGGTAAAAACATGTTGTGACTTGATTAAAATATTTATCATGATTGATAGAATGTCTCTGATAGTGCAGGATAAGACATTCTAGAACAAGAACATAAAGATGAAGCATTATGAAACTTAATGAACATGATGCTTAAAAATTAAGATGTATGAAAAGGTTATTGAAGTTCAACTAAAAATGTACCCTTGATGACCAGTGCTCCATTGACTGCTGCATCAAACTCATACATAGTAAATGTAGGAGGACAATCCACAATTTTATCACCAGGATCAAGGACACATCTATCGAAGATGAGGCATTGTCAGAATAATATCACTTGATAGATCTTTCAATATAGAATAAAAATATTTAAATATAAGAAATGGCCCAGTTCAAAGGCTAAACCAAAGGCAATGTAGTTCTAACCTCATGATCAAGTCAATTAGCTCATCTGCACCACATCCAGCAAGTATATAATCGGATTCAAGGCCTGAATCTTCAGCTAGAGCAGCACGCAAATGGCGGCTCTCAGGGTCAGGATAAACATAAGGAAACTTTAATGATCCCAATGCTTCAGCTACCTATAAATTATCGGTTAGTATGACAGCTTTTTGACAATCTTAGTCGTTGTAATCAATAGTATCTTCCTTTTCTAACAAAAATTCATATAACAATTCATAATTCAGAGAGCACTAAAGGTTATGTTAACAGCAAAGAAGCTCATCTGCACCAGAAGATAGTGACCATAGTTTGAATGCTATATAAGTTGACAATTCCTCAAATTTATAATATAACCAATAAGGATTACCAGCCTTGAAATGGAAGTATTAAGACAGAAAGAAAGGTGTATCCATGAAGTTCTGTCACTTCTTTCATCACTTATATTCACTTTTTCACAGTTTTCAATGAGACACTGGTTATGAATATTCAGAAGGTGTCCTTTTAGACATATTTCACAATTGATGAAGCCCTAGAAAAACACAAACAACATGATGTGAGTTGATTCGGATCAATGCTGCTAGGAGAGATGGGACACCTAGAGAGACAAACTAGAAAAAAGGGAACTGCTGGCCCTTAATTGACCAGCTGCATTGGCCTTAACAAAGCTAACCAAAGCAAAAAGCGCCATGCAGTCCAATCCAAATATATGATGCCTGCTTGGTTGTTGCTGTTGCTAATAATGTTTAGCATGACATTATTACCATGTGAAAGTAAGATAGGGACATATGACAAATGAAATCCAGTGATTATGTGCTTGCATGCAAGGTCGAGCTAGTAATATACATAAGAACCAAAAATGGGGCGTCTGTGCATTTTTATTTGGTTTTTGGTGCTTTAATCTGATAAAAGAGAAAACCCAACTTGCCTCTGGAGGTGGACCATATGGATTTTCATTAGCATCTAGCTTGATTATGTCTTCAGGTTTTCTTCCAAGGCGTGTAGATAATACCTGAAAATAGAAAGATATTTCCAGTGTTACATATGTTAAACAATTCCAAAAGTTTTGTGACAGAATTGTACTAAAGTTAGAGAGAACACATTACATATAAGACTCTGACCCACTATGCTAGCTTCTTATATTTTCTCTTAAAATCATCAAAATTTATCATAAGGAAGTGCATTCTAACATCTGTTGATAATACTGTGTCAAGAAACTAACACTCAGTGGCTAACTCCTCCAAGATTCCTCTCCATTTTAGAATTCCAAATCCATAAAACCTGAACTGGTAATGCAAATATAATGTATCAAAGGCTCCTTTGAGATAATCGATACATGTATTGCTACACAGTTGACGTAACCTAAGAACACAAAAACCATTGCGCTTCTCTCTGGGAAAATAAAACAAACACTGCATGATCACAGTAAAGATGCCAAATTTATCGTTCAGCTAGCGTTAAAACAGCTAAAAGAACGACGCAAGATTTCAGCTTTGCACCTCGAACGGCAAGATTGGCTGATAGGGAGACAGCTGCCTGAGGTGAAGGCGTATGAAGGAATCACCTCTCAACCGACTCGGTGGCTGATCGACTTGCTCCACCGGTAATGCCGAAGCCATAAAACGCCCGGAATTTATCTTCAGATGCCGCAAATCGTGATATAATTTGGTGACCGAGGGCGAAGGAGAAGCGACGGAGAAGCCAATGACACCCATCAACATAGGCGACACAGCAGCAATCCGAGAAAAGCTCTGCCTAAACCCTAACGGTCAAGAAAGTTAGCAATGTAACGGCCGTCATCGAGACCACATAACGAGCTTGCCGCTAAACGGATCCAACAAATCAAAGAAAAATTTGATCCATTTCCGGATCTGTTAACCATCGGATCCGATCCGAGAAGGAGACAAATAAAGAGGAATTTTTATATTATAGATAAAACCACTACGAACGGATTTAATAGTTATCATAAACGGTAAATTTCCTATTGGTGATACTAATCAGCCTTAATTACATGAAATCGTCGATCTTAGATATTGATGGCAAAGCGAGCATTGCAAGGAAAAGAAGGAAGTGGGAATCAGCACCTGCCTTCTTTGTTCTTGTTCTTGGAATGGACCAAAGATGAGAAAGAGATGCTCTGCTGAGGAATGTGATCTCAAGATTGGCCTCAGAATATACTCTTCAAACATGCACTTCAAGCAAGAAATTGGATTCTGGTTCTGCTTCTTCGACATCTCATGTTAATCTTTCTCTCAGTCCTAAAAGGCCTCACGCCATTAACGACTAAGCGAGTTCCCACACGTGCATGGTGGAGATCCCACAAATGTGTGGCTATAGTTTGGTCTGGAGATGGCATGACCTCACTGCACATGTAATCTTCCGTCAAAGTAGCATCCAAGTAGTAGCAGGACAAGTCGATGCTTTGAGACCTTCAAGAACAGTCGACCTGAGAACACACACATCATTTGGTGTATGTAATGTCGTGTTTACAAAGATGTGGATTTTTCTTGGGTGATGGCTTGATTAGCTCTTGTCCAAATCTAATGACATGTCCGCCCGTTACATCTGCGATCTCTTTCAGATGACCACCACATGCTTAAGATAAGACAAGAGGCGTGTTTCCCCGAGAAACAATGCATCGAGGGCACCTGTGAGTCTGCAACCGAGCGGGGATAAGGAGAGTGCAGAGGAAGAGGGGTTTCGATGCGTCTGTAGGTAGTCGTAATAGATAGAAAGACGAGAAATAATTGAATCGAGCTTTGATTAGAGAGAGGGAGGCAGGCAACCCATGTGCTCACATGGAGACACAGAGCGAGAGACAAACGCAGGGCGAGTAGAATAGCAGTGACGAGGGGAGGAGAGAAACGAGTGTGCTTTATAGAAAGAAGAGGAAGTAGCAGATACTGGTGCGGGTGTTGGGGTGGGGGGGAAGAGAAGATGCGGTGGAGGGAGAAGGAAAGGTAGAAGGGAAGCGAAGCCCATAAAGATATCATCTTTTGGGTTTTCTGCCGTGATTTGGAGGCTGCAAAGGAGGCGGGGGGGGTGGGGGGGAGGGGGGGTGGGAGAGGTGGGAGGGGAGGGTAGAGAGATGAAGGAAGGGGGCGGAGATGGGTTCGTGAGGGCGGACCAGATCGATCTGAAGAGGTTGGACGAGCAGCTGGAGCGGCACCTCAGCCGACCGAGGACGATTGAGAAGAGGAAGGAGGAGGAGAGGCAGAGGGAGGAGTGGGAGATCGACCCCTCGAAGCTGGTTATCAAGGGGGTCATCGCCAGGGGCACCTTCGGCACGGTCCACCGTGGAGTCTACGACGGCCAGGACGTCGCCGGTGAGGCTGAGAGGAAACCTAAAATCAAGAAGGAAAAGAGATTCTGATGCATAGTTGCTCCCCTTTTTGAATAATGCCTGTGTTTTACTGCCAAAAGTTGGTCCTTTTTGTGATTATTGGTGCTCGATGCGGTTGTTACTGGTTGGATTTCCTCGTCGCATAATTCCGTTTGATTTCTTGATATCTGCTTTAGTGAATCTAATAACTTTATATGCTTTGGAAGAACTTGTTCCTTTTTCTCTGGTTGTCTTTCTTGTACAATTCATTTGGATTGGTGTCCAATCCGCACTTGTCTGTCTTCTGCGGATCTGTTCTTCCATGGAAGAAGCATCATTGCATGATAATAGAACTGAAAGGGGGGAAAACTATGTGTGTTATCGTCTGTTCATCAGTTTGAAGACTACTGAAATTTCCATACTGGTTTGATGCATTCCACCATTAGTAAAACCATGAAATTTCTGTTTACGTTTGATGTGTGTTACTTTTGCTTTTGGGGGTTTGGTGCGCTCCAGTTCGGTTTATAAAGGTTCTTGTTCATCGATGTAGCCAGTGGACTGCATGCCTGTGACTTGCACAGATTGGGTGGGGTGTTTCCCGTGACTTTTGTTCGATCAGTTGTTTTCTCTCTTGTACTTTCATGTGAACCTAACTCAACAACTATTGGTAAACTTGGGTGCTGGTCTTGTGATATCTATTAAAGGGAAGAACAGAAAGCGATAACTCCGGCTAATGACCTCAAGAAATAGTTGCAATGGGTTGCAACTTGGGACATTGAATTAAAGGGGGACACACTTTTTTTTTTTTCCTGTGTGTGGTTCAGAATATTCTTTTTCTCTTTTTTTTTTCTTATCTGAAACTTTCTTTTCCATTCTTTGCTCTAGCAGTTCACCAACAAGTCTGCGTTGTAGTTTACCGGTTTCTTGCATTAGCAGGCACTCAAACATTTAAAAGAGCATGAGATCATCCTCTGGAGTTACATCTCACTTGCCCTTTCTTTAGTTGGTTATAAAAGTTGTATTCTTTTACTATTTCCAGTGAAGTTGCTTGACTGGGGCGAAGAGGGAAACAGAACAGAAGCTGAAATCTCTGCACTTCGAGCAGCGTTCTCTCAGGAAGTCTCGGTTTGGCATAAGCTTGATCATCCTAATGTAACTAAGGTACAGGTCATTATGTGAGGATACCACTAGTCTGTAACATCTCTGGGAATTTAGTCCTCAATTCACTGAGTGCTTGTAGTTCTTTTCTGTGGACGTGTATTTATTATCCTATTTGAAATATCTCCTCTGCTTTCATCTTCTTGAATATAGCTCTCTACATATTTCTGCGTGTTTGCTTAACATGTTGTACATTCATTTTAAACTTCTTTTGCAGTTTATTGGGGCTGCCATTGGGGCAGCAGACCTGAACATACAAACAGAAAATGGTCATCTCGGCATGCCGAGCAATGTTTGCTGTGTTGTTGTCGAATATCTTCCTGGTGGTGCACTGAAATCATTTCTTATAAAACACCACAGGAGAAAGCTAGCTTTCAAGGTAGTCGTCCAAATGGCTTTGGATCTTGGGAGAGGGTGAGCATTCGCCTCGAATTCTTCTATTTGGAAACTCTTAGTTGACTGCATTTTATTTCCATGTGGACTTGTTAATTATTTCCTGCATGTAATTCCCGTTCAACAAGCTTTTTGCAAATTAAATATATTTGGCCAATTTGTATCTTTATCTGTAGGTTAAGTTATCTTCATTCCCAAAAGATTGTGCACAGAGATGTGAAGACAGAAAATATGCTTCTAGATAGGACAGGAACAGTAAAAATTGCTGACTTTGGTGTTGCTCGTATTGAGGCTCAAAATCCTAATGACATGACGGGTGAGACAGGAACCCTTGGTTACATGGCACCCGAGGTATGAAATCCCTTTTTATTTTGATGTTCAAGTGTTTCCTCTTAATCTTAGGTCATTTTTCAGAAGCCTGAAATGTTTGTGGACATGACATAATCTTCTGGATTAATTCATCGACATTGTGGCACATTAGCTTCTCCATTGAAATACTGTCTTGAAGTAAAGATTGCCTATGGTGAACATGCAACATTTTATGATTCCAGTTTCATGGCACCAGAAAATCTCCTAAGATGTCTCCTTATTTGTTAGAATTTAGATAAACCAAAAACAAGAGATGTTTTGGGCACATATTTTAATGTAATAGGAAGTTCGTCACTGGTTATGCAGATTGCTGAACAAGATGATTGAAAAAAAGAGTTATGTTTGCTTGCTAGAAAAGCTGGTCTAGCAGAAATGTGTAATAAATAAGTTAAATACAAATTACACAGTTCAATACTTACTGTGAGAGCTTCTCCAGAAGTTTGTAAGGGAACTCTTTGATTCATTGATAAAGATAGACTTACAGAAGGATACATTATTGATTGGCTGCTCCGGCAACGAAAGCACATGATGGAGAAAAATTGAAATGGAGCTTTGATTGAGGTAGACAAGAAGAAGAATAGAAATGAGAGGGAAAACCGAGGCGAGTGGAAATAGGATAAATGCATGCAGTTGAATATGAAGATAGCATATAATTAGTTCATTGTTTAAGTGGAACTTTACATTTTTCCTTATATTACTACATTCTCGTCTAACCATGATGAAGTAACCTTAGTACTGACACATTTGCAGGTCCTCAACGGCAACCCTTATAATAGAAAATGTGATGTTTATAGCTTTGGGATCTGCCTGTGGGAGATATACTGTTGTGACATGCCGTATCCTGACCTTAGCTTTTCCGAGATAACATCTGCCGTTGTGCGGCAGGTATGCACTTCTTTGAAAATTATAGCTGAAGTGGTTGCAGGACTAAAAATTTAACTTTGCACATAATTGCAGAACTTGAGACCAGAGATCCCACGATGCTGCCCAAGCTCTCTGGCAAATGTGATGAAAGTCTGCTGGGATGCAAACCCTGACAAACGACCTGAGATGGATGAGGCAGTGACCATGTTGGAGGCTATCGATACATCAAAGGGTGGAGGTATGATTCCTCCTGATCAGCAACAAGGATGTTTCGGGTGTTTCCGCAAGCACCGAGGCCCTTGATAAGCTAAATTCCCTCAAACTAACATGGCAAGATGATTGTTCCAAGGATATATAAACGTCGAAGAGATGGAGAGCATGTGCACAATCACAGGCATCGATGCGGAGCTGAAATATTATGGCAATGCATCCGGAGTATGTTCTACATGCTTGTCTCTATTTATGTGATGATGTAAAAACATTCATCTTCATGTGTATTCCTTGGCTTCACTCTTGTACTCTGGTATGACCTACACATTTATGTTCTGTTCTGTTGTTGCCTTATCATCTCCTGTGAACATGAATAAGCAAAGGTTGCATCTTGATACATATTGTAGAGGTAAATAAATGGCAGTTGGGTATGGTAAATGAAGATGTGATAGTCTAATTGTCGTATCATGGTGTTCGATTCGAATGTCATCTCTGGTTATTACTGATGTGGACTTTCCATGCTGCAATGTTAGCTTGAGGGTAGTTTAGCATGAGAACTTACGTTTCCGGAGCAATTAAATGACCTTCTAGCAATCTGATGAACGATAATAAGCATCGGTAGTATATAGCATGCGCCACCAGCACTAGGATAACTGACGGGCATAATAACCTTTTCTAAAAAACATAGACGAGGGAAGTGGTAATGCCATTGCAAAGAGCATATAAAACCTTGCCATTTCTCTCGAGATTCTATTTACAAACATCTGCTTGTAATCTGCTTGCATATAGCTTCCCTCTATCATCTTATGTCAAAGCAGATTGTCAGGAACACAGAAATGGATCTGCAAAATTCACAAGAGAAATACATATAAATTGTACCCCTCCATGATCTAGAAAGCTTTACTTCTTTTGTTAGAACTCTACTGATCACAGTCCTAACCCCTTTGGATTAACCAGCTAAAGATTCTCTGGGAGCAAAACAAGTGCCATGCTTGCTGTTATTCCAATGCCTGGTTTCCTGCTTTGCTCAACTAAATTTATCATCGTGAGGAACTTAGTGAGGATAGTCGACAGTACTTAAAATGCACGGTGAGAATTACCTTCTGATAAGTATTCAGATATCCCTGAAAAATTGACTGGGTGTTTCCATAAGCCTCTTCTATTCCTCTCTATTCTCCAATTGTTCCTCTACTAAGCTGATTCTGACTCGGGTTCTCAGGTCAAATGGTTAGTCATCCAAGTAGGATCGCTGTCAATCATCTTCGGAGGAGCCACAAGATGATGTTGATCCTGCTTTATTATTCTCCCGCTTAGCACACCGAAATACTTCAAGAAGCAGATCTCGTATCTGCTTCCTCAAGCCAGAAGCATCCTCAGGATGGAACCACTTGCTACCAAACTGCTTAGGTCAAAGATAGGGAAAACAGAAATTAAAACAGCATACAATCTCCAGCCCACTTAGAGATGTGTTGCCTACCATTGCCAGATCTTTCCGTTTAAGCCTTTCAGGAGCCTCTTCAATAAACCTCTCCATGAAGTAGAGCACAAAAAGCCCACAGTCATACTCATTCTTCTGTTGGGGAACCTGATAACACGTAGCATGTATAATGAGTTTCAGCTAGTTCCACATGCTAATCGATGCAAACAAGTTATCATTTAAAGGAAACAAGGTCATTTTTTATTTCAACACATTTGCTATTGAGACATTCTATCGAAGATGAGATTGAGACTGGGCCTTGCTACAATGGAAAGATTGCTCCGCAGAAACAAACCACTCTAAATATATAAAATTTTTCTATAAGAGAGATTACATACCCATTTTTCTATCAAAGATGAGATTGATAAACTTTGGGAAACAAAATAAAAGATTTCCATGTTATGAAAGAGCAATACAGTACCAACCATATAGAAACAACCATAATGAAAAGCTGATTATGAGATAAAGATGTCCAATGTAAAGAGGTTTACCGTGATCTTTTTCTTCTCAATGCTACTTGAAAGATGTCTCCAAATATTTACTGAAAAAGGAAGATCTGGACGAGAAGAATTTTGATTTATGTAGTTCCATTCCTCTTTCAAAAATCTGCAATTAGAAACTGCATATTAGGTTTTTAGAGAATATCTGAAAAGATAATTATTATATCAGAGATAAGTTTGCTTTTGTCTCAATCAGAAGATGAGAATCCAAAATGAGAAGATACACGATGGTGCAAGGTGCACATAGACACAACAAGGAAATTGGTTTTCCTATACATCAATGTTTCCACATGGCAAAGAACAAGTCAAGCATGTTGCAACTTCAAGCAATTAATGATTACATGTTGCAATCTTGGCATTTAAAATAAATCAGAAAAGAACCAAAATTGCAGAAACACAGACATATATTATATATACTCAAATAACAAATTGACCACTTCTTTATTAGCATAAAAGATTTCACAGTCAGCTTACCTATCTATGATATGAAATATCGATTGACTGTTATGAAATCCCAATGAATCCAAATGAAGTACAATTGGACCTGATTCATCTTCTTGTGCAGGTATACAAATAACTGCCAAGCTCCAATGCATACTGAAAACAAGAAGCACATATTAGATCAAAAAGTTAGAAACCAATGACATCATTTTGTAAAATAAATTTGTACATCTTTTGTTTATCTTTGAAAAAGTCACTGAAATCTAATACTATGTGAAAAAAGTCACTGAATTTTGGCACAAAATTGTTCCACTACATCTTCACTGAAATCTAATACTATGTGAAAAAAGTCACTGAATTTTGGCACAAAATTGTTCCACTACATCTACATTCAAAATAAGTCATACAAACATTAAAAGACTAGCCACTTAAATAAATTGGTGTCTTTGGCACCTCAATTAGTCACATGTTATAAATGTTACATTAGACAAATGATATGACAAACACGTGACTCAATGATCCAACATCCAATGAGATTCTCATTAACTTTTTTACTGGCATCATAATATTTTTAAGCAACCAATATCATTAAGAATCATAATATTGATGGTACCATAATCAAATGCATAAGAAAAGGTATGACATAGACATACTAAGTTTGTCAATCCAACATATTGGATAAGAACAGGAAATAATTACTTACTCTCCATGGACAGGTATGAAGATGTAAGATTTTTGAAAAATATTAACACCCTTCCACCATCTCCTCAATTTCTCAAAACATGCCTTGTCAACCTACTAAATAAAAGATTATCAGTTAAGTTTCAGTACATAACAGAAAATAGTCTAGGTCAATGCAGGATTTATGAGAAAGTACGTAAATTTGGGTATCAGTTTCAAATAAATAAAACAAGCTCTCAATGATGTACAGTCATGAGCACTTGAACTCCGACTTAAAAATCATTTGGAAAATAATATAAACGTATTTATAACACATGATAAAATTCAGACCTGATAACTTGTCTATAAATTTACAACTAACAAAGAGTCAACTATGTTATACGTGGCCGACAAAAAATTGCAAAAATGTCATATTAATATGCCAGTTAGATGCATGTCAGACATCTGAATCCAATATAAGCCTGCAGAATGGGTCTTTAATGGCAATTCCAATATAGGCATTTATGAATTGCAAACTGGACATGCTCTGGTAGAAAACTAAACGAAATACTTCAGAGAGAAAGTATTACGAAGCAAATAATACACGAGAACAGTGATAAACCCACAATTTTTGGCCACCCTAATTAAGATGCATGCAAATTTCAGCAATAGAAATAAACAGAACTAATATAACATAAAATGAAGAAGAAATGCGTGCCAAAGAAAACCATGGTGTTTTGGCAATATATGACAAGCAAGTATTTATCAAAAGAAGAAGATTTGCACAACTACAGAACATGTTGTCAAGCATTACAAGAGCCTACTCTAGGAGAAGTTGTATTTGACCAAAGAAATAATACTCGAGTAAATTTGATCATTCCTAGAGCAATAGACCTTTACATAACTTTCCTATAGGTATCACAATATATCTTTGCTAATGCTTGGCAGGCGTGCTACTTTCAAGTTTTAACTGCCATTGAACTTAACTTTGACAATACCAGAGTATAAAAATAATCATTTAACCATTTAAAAAATGATACCTTAAATGAAACAGCTTCCTCAAGTTTCTTGTAGAAATAGGTGTTGAAAAAATGATAGTCTCCTCTTGGTCTATCAGTAACAGCCAAGGGCCTTTGCAGGTATCTAAAACAACAATCAACATGTACAAACAAGATGTGAATGTGATATAAGCATGTAGCATAGATGAAGTAAAACAAAAGTTCGATGCATTAAAATTGTTAAGTGAATGCAGAGTGAAGCAGAAACAAGGACGGAATATCTGGTGTCTTGATCCCACAAGTCTTGCGAACCGGTACATGCAAATCCGTGTGGTACACACGCAAGTGTGTCAAGGGTCGGTTAGCACACTTTGGCATAAAACAAGACCCAACATCGGCACTAGAATACACTTACGTCAATTTTTGGTCCATAACAATCGGCAATGGAGCATGCCAGCTGGCATGACATTGAATTGTACCTTGCTATAAAAGCATCAATGCACCCCCATGCCATGATATGATAATCCTTGCTTGAGACAACCAATAAATCAATATGCTTTAATAAAAAATGTTATGCCCAAGTATCGACCAAGGTAGAATGCTATCACAAAATCCAACTATGAAAAAACCAAAGAGAATCATCTGCCACAAAGAAGCAACAAAGACAATTAGACTCCTGCTAAAAAATGATAAAATTCATATTTAGCTTCCCTATTGCTGTAGGACCAAAGTGTGGAAACATTAAAAAGATGAATGCTATTAAGAAACAAATTCAAACATAGGTTAAAAGGAGAAAGCAAGCAAGAAGAGAAAAGAAAAGAGTGATTAATTGGAAAGATGAGCTGAACATGGTAGATACATGATTCCCAGCTGGAGTATAATACATAATTCATAAACTACACTGATCAGTGTCCAACATCCATAACAAAAATCTTATCCAAAGCAATCGTTAGATCAAGTGTTCTCTTTATAAGAGCGGATAAGCTCTTCACAGAGGTTACTCTATAGAGACTGTGTATTGCCACTAAGGAGTTATCAAATATATGAGGAAAAACATGCAGGACCTTATCCTAGAATGTTCTTAACTCAAAGATTCATTGATTGTGTCATCTCTGCATTCAGTTTAACGAGTGGAACTTTAATTAATGCCAAATAATAGATAACACAAACAGAAGTGAAATATACAGAAAAGCGTAGATTGATTTTCTGAGGAACACTTTAGGAATCATGAAAAAGATCTTACTGAATGTAGAAGTTCATTATAGTAGATGACAAGTATGATTCAGGATTGAGGCATTTTATATCTGCATAAGAGAGCTCA